CGATAAGCTATCTAGATCTCTCAGCCAACCAGATTGATGGGGAAATACCCAATTGGATTTGGAATATTGCATTTCTTACTTATTTAAACCTGTCCCACAACCTTCTGGTGAATTTGCAAGAGCCTTCAAGTGGTCTTAGTTCTGCTAAGTTTCTATCTATCTTGGACCTTCATGGTAACAGACTACAAGGGCAACTACCAGGCTTCCCACCATCTGCCACATACATGGATTACTCGAGCAACAATTTCAGCTCTGTTATTCCGGTCAACATTGGTGATTACCTTGAGTTTCCTTACTTCTTCTCTCTTTCCAACAACACCCTCCGTGGAAGTATTCCTAAATCAATATGCAATGCTACATATCTTAGTGTCCTTGATTTGTCAAAAAATTCCCTCAATGGCACCATTCCCCAATGCTTAATTGGTATGGAGTCTCTTGGGGTACTAAACCTTAGGGGAAATGTCCTCAGTGGCAACATTGCTGATGCATTTTCAAGCAGTTGTCAGGTACAAACACTAGACCTCAATGCAAATCAACTAGAAGGAAAGATTCCAAGATCTCTGGCCAGCTGCAAAATGCTGGAGGTTTTAGACCTTGGGAACAACCAGATCAACGATACTTTCCCATGCCATCTGAAGAATATATCCAGTTTGCGAGTGCTGGTTTTGAGGTCCAACAACTTTCATGGACAGATTGGTTGTCCAGATGACAATTCCTCCTGGTCGATGCTTCAAATTGTTGATCTTGCTTTTAATCAGTTTAGTGGAAGACTACCACAAAATTGCTTAAGAACCTGGAAGGCAATGATGGATGATGAAGATGAACTTAAACACCTTCGTTTCCAGTTTTTGCAACTCAATCCATTCTATTATCAGGATGCAATTACAGTTACACTGAAAGGTCTACAGCTGCAGCTGGTTAAAATCCTCACTGTCTTCACATCCATTGACTTTTCATGCAATAACCTCGAAGGGACGATACCAGAAGTTATAGGAGAATTCAGAGCACTCTATGTCCTTAACATGTCACATAATGCTCTCACTGGAACAATTCCGTCATCTTTGAAAAACCTAGGGCAGCTCGAGTCTTTGGACCTCTCCTGCAACAACTTTACTGGTGAGATTCCTCAACAACTGTCAAATCTAACTTTCCTGTCAGCCCTTAATCTCTCAAACAATCACCTGGTGGGGCAAATTCCAACTTCGAATCAGTTTCCAACATTTTCAAATGATTCCTATGGAGGCAACGATGGACTCTGTGGCTCTCCCTTGACAAGAAAATGTGGAAGTGGGAACGATAACTCAGACTCAGTATCTCCGCTGGCGCCATACCAGCAAAATGAACTTGATTGGCAGTTCATATTAACTGGACTGAGTTTTGGGTTGGGAGCAGCAGTAGTTGTCGCACCTATGATGTTCTGCAAGAGAGCAAGTAAATGGGCTGATGACAGTGTTGATAAAACCCTTCTGGTGATCCTCCCAAATGTGGGTTTGAGTTACGACAGATACCATGATTCAAACACTGAGACAGAGGAAAA